CCTCCTGCTCCCCACCCCCATCCTGCCACACTCAATATGGCGTCACTTCCTGTTTTTATGAAAAAACAAGATCCGGGTCACTCCAATGCCCCGAAGAAGGTTTCCCACTGTTTCCCCACTACTCAGTCGGTTGGTCTCCCATCAAGAAAGTGGTGGGTGGGAGAGCAAAGCGGTCAGGGCCTGTCTGCAAGGCCGCTGCCATGGCTGTGAGGGGCACCAAGGGATTGCTTCATTCATTCAACTGCTGCAACTGCATCCCTGCCCCAGCCTCAGAGTGGGAAGATGCAAGGGAGTGGGCACACTGATGTAGAACATGTCCCTATTTTCCATTATTTTGCCTATTAATTTTTATTAATTTCCCATTTTTTAAAACAGATTAACATCAAATCAGTTCAAATTTAACACATATTTTAAAATGGACTTTCCACACACCCCCTTTCAAGATGCTTCTTTCCCCTCCCTCCTTTGCTGCTCGCAGTAAAGTACATTTCCTTAATTTCTAATACTTGCCCATCCATTCTCTCTTTCTGTTGACTGCGCATGTTCAATTCCTGCTTGGACTTTTATTTAACCATTTCCCAATTGATCAAATACAGTGGTACCTCTGGTTACGTACTTAATTCATTCCGGAGATCCGTTCTTAACCTGAAACTGTTCTTAACCTGAGGTACCACTTTAGCTAATGGAGCCTCCCGCTGCCGCCGTGCGATTTCTGTTCTCATCCTGAGGTAAAGTTCTTAACCCGAGGTACGACTTCGGGGTTAGCAGAGTCTGTAACCTGAAGTGTTTGTAACACAAGGTGTTTGTAACCTGAGGTACCACTGTAGAGTTAATCTCTCTTTATCAACTAATACAGTTTATTCATCATGCCGTATATGTCCCTATTTTCATCTGAGGAATGCTGGAGGGTAGTGGGCTGGGAATGTCTCCCACCTGAAATTCTGAAGAGCGAATGCTAGTTGGTAGAGACGGTACTTTCTAATTGGATTAAGGTTCAATATGAGGCAGGTAAGGTGTACAAGACAGGGAGTGGAAGGGACCAGTGGCCCTCCCCGATATGGCTGGACTACAACTCCCATCAGGCCCCAGCACCATGGCCAATGATCGAGAGCGATGGGAATTGTAGCCTAAGAATTTTGGATCACCACAATTCCTCCCCAGGGAAAAGGAAACATCACTCCCTGAGGTAGTGAGAACAGATGATACTGGACCGAATGCACCAGAAGACAAGGCAGCATTGTATGTTAATTGTAGGGATGGGACCCCAAAGGGCAGTGGGAAGAGTTCCTAGTGTCTTCTCCAGGAGAGGAGGTTTGCTACCTGTGGCCACCCACAATTCCAGTGAGATAACTTCTGTTTTTCAATGGGCTCAGAGATTACCGTATTTTTTGCTCTATAAGACTCACTTTTTCCCTCCTAAAAAGTAAGGGGGAATGTGTGTGCGTCTTATGGAGCGAATGCAGGCTGCGCAGCTATCCCAGAAGCCAGAACAGCAAGAGGGATTGCTGCTTTCACTGCACAGCGATCCCTCTTGCTGTTCTGGCTTCTGAGATTCAGAATATTTTTTTTCTTGTTTTCCTCCTCCAAAAACTAGGTGCGTCTTGTGGTCTGGTGCGTCTTATAGAGCGAAAAATACGGTAAATGGAGGGTGTGTCTGTGTCGGCACCTTTGCTGCTCCCCGCTGGAAATCAATTGTTATTCACCCTTCGATGCCAACCCACCCTGCCGGGTTCTTAAATATAAATGCTGCTTGCAAAATATCAGAATCCGTGTTTGTTTTTTCCTCTGGGGGATGATAACAATGATCTAAGAAGTCACCTTCTGGGCATCCAAGCAGAGGTCTTCTCTTAGACCCTTCCTGCCAACCGAAGGGTGAGCAGTGCCTCTTGAATACACAGCTCCAGAGCCCCGGGCAAAGGATTAAACAACAACAACAACAACCAGAACCTTGCAGACATGCATTGGGATAGCGTGACCGGGGAAAAAGCCTCTTCTCTGCTTGATAGGGAAACAAAGCTTCTTAAGCCTGCTGCAGCATTTTTTAAAACCCTGATTTTAGCCTGATTTGCTAATTAGTTTTTGTAAGTTTTGGCAACCGTTTGAAACAGGGGTCAGTGGGGAACCTGCCCATCTTGCAGGGGGTGGGGAGGAATTGATCATTTGCCACCAGCCCAGAGTCGATTAGGTTCGGCACAGACTCTGGACCTGTATTCAGATCCTTCCATCGTCAGAAAGCTCACTTGGGTGATCTCAACCATCTCTTATTATTTTCTCTTCAGCTGCCTCCCTTGGTGTCCCCATTGGATTTGGGAGGAATCTTCACTCCCCTGAGTTCTGCCTTCCTCGCCCCATAAGGGATTGCCATAAGTAGAGCTAGTTTGTTTGGTGGCCTTCCAGTTTCCTTCGGGGAAACTTGCAGGATGGATTTTGTTTGTACCTAGGATCTGATAGCTTGCCACGGCAAGCACTTCTCTCCCCAGGACCAGGTTGCCTGCAAATGAATATATGATACAGCCTTCTCCCCCTGTCTTGTGTGGTTTCCTTACTTGCAGCCTGGCTCGCCTATTTGAGCCAGCTAGAATTGCTTATTTATTTGGGTGGTGCAACCTGTTTGCCTCTTCAAGGTGTATCTGTGCTTGTTCCAGGGGTAGCCAAATTGTCCTCTCTCTCTCTATTTCTCTTCGTCTCTCCTCCCTGTAGTGCATTTAACTACAGCCTGACATAAAGCCATAAAGCTATTATTGAGCAGAATCGGATCCCAGAATGAGATAAAAAGTGATCAGATAGCTTTATAAGACTGTTCAAGCATTCTGAATGACTAGGTATGCTCAAATGGAGGAGTTAGGATTTATTTCTCATCTTTAAAAATCTGCGCTGTTTTGTGTTTTATTGCGGTATATTTTTTACTGCATTCCTTGTCATTTTTTTTTTTTATAACTCATTTTGAACTTTTATTGCACGTTGCCCGGAGAACTCTCCTCCGGGGTGGTTAACCAATTTAAACGAACAAGCAATGAGAGATTCAAACAGACAAGCAATTAAGGAAGAGATTTGGCAGGTGACGCTTTTCTTAACCAGGCACCTGTTTACAACCCTAGATCAGGACCTTAAGGAAAAGGAAAATGGCAACCTTAATTGATAGGCAGATGGATGGGTAGTCCTGCCTTATGGGGCTGGACTAGATGTCCTTTGGATCCCCCCCTCCCAAATCTCCTGTGCCCCGACCCTGCCTGGCAAAGTTGATGCGAGGACAATTGCTAAGCCCAGGCAAAGCCCAGTGCATGCTAAAAAGTGCTACGCGGAAGCAGCAGACCGCAAAACTGCTGGAACATACTAATTTCAAGCCGCGCTTTGCACAAGCCGCCCCTTTGCTCTCAGGCACCGCCAAGGGCATGCCACTATCCTTATTCTCTCCCCCACCCCCGCCCGCAACCTCACCTTTCCCTTGTCCGTTGCTCACTCACCAGCAGATAGATGCTCCCTTGGATGAGGAATATGAAACAGCACCGTGTGAGCTGCATTTTCTTTTCAGCCTCTCCTCCTCCTTTCCCCTCCTCTTATCGATATCTGGCTAAATCTGTTGTGCTTCCTTGCTGCTGCTGCTGCTGCTGCTGCTGCTGCTGTTTATAATCTGGCCTCTGGCTTCCTAGGATCTCCCCTTTCCAGGTTCCATCTGGCCGCCTTCTTCCAGCCAGGCATGGATGGGCAAAACAGAAAAATAAGGGAAGCAGGAACAGCCCCACTATCTCAACCTCTGCAGTTGGAGAGCTCCATGGGGCTGCCTCCTGTCTGCTCCCTGCTTTGCCGGAGACTCTGGCAAAACTCACTCCAGTCCCTCGCTCTTTTCTTTCTCCCTCTCTCCCTCTCTCCACTAGCTCCCTCCCACTGACAGGTGCCACCACTGGAGCCGACGAGCCCTGCCTTAACCCCTTGCCTGCCTGCCTGGCAAACTTAGAAACTCAGCGCAGAGCTCCAAAGTTGGCAACGGCGTCCGAGAGAAGACTGCGCTCTGCCTCTGCCTTGCTCAGTTTAGGCCAGCATCCTGGGAAGAACGGCTGCAGGTAGGTCAGGAGCGAGGAGGGTGCCGATGTCCCCAGGGTCTTGGGGCCGGAGCTTGCTTTTAGGATGTGAAAGCTGGGGGGTGGGGGGTTGGGGGGGTCGTGTTGTTCCAAGGTGATGTTTGTCAAGGAGGAAAGAGAAGTTCCTAATCTGAGTCAGGGGTGGACTCCAGAAGCTGTTTTCAAGGACAAGGCTGTGTCCTTGGTCTGGGAAGGTTCAAAACAGCTGACCTGAAAACAGAGACGTTTATGTACCTTTGTCTCCGTGAAAACCTTTCGATTAAAAACAACGATAAAAGAAGGAAAGGGGAGTACCTTTTGAAAATGTGCAAAGCTGCTCTGGGTGTAGGTTAAAGACAAGAGCCCTTGGGGCAGACGGTATGACTCACAAGCAGGCTTCAGATCTGCCACATCCAGTCTTTTATTTTTAAAATGATGTATCCCGGTTGCATCCTGCCCATCTTGAATCCCAGGGTGACTTTATGCAGTGCCTGGGATCTGGGAGGGAAAATCTGAGCACTGCTTTCTGCCTCCCACTTCTGAACAGAGGGTCCCACTCCATCTCCCAGGTTAGACTCACCCGAGCAAATTGTGCTCTTGCACAGCTCATTTCAATGGAGCTTGCGCAGGAGAACTTCCCGTTGGGCTGTGGCCATATGTGATGTGCTTCCAGTATTAATTGCTCCCCCAGATTGATTGATCTGGTATTGATTGAGCTCCTGTCTTCCTCCCGCTCAAGGTTCTGCTCTGTTCTCATTTAATGTTTTAAGCTGGCTTTTAATTGCATTGATTTTTAATTGTGTTTTTGTCCCTCGTCCCCCCCCTCCACATCACCACGCCTGGTTGAGCATCTTTTGCAAGTGACAAAGTGTCTATGTTTTAATACACATAAATAATAGAGAGTCAGATCAGTTTTGTCTGCCGGGCTTGATGGGGGCATCCACCATAGCGCAGTTGCTAGAGCATGAGACTCTTAATCTCAGGGTTGTGGGTTTGAGCCCGATGTTGGGCAAATGATTCCTATACTGCAGGGGGTTGGACTAGATGACCCTTGTGTACAATTCTGTGATTCTAGCTGCCTCACCTTGCCTCCTTCAGAAGCCCACCTTAGGACTTTCTCAAATAATTTATACGAAGGTGTGAGACCAGGCTTGCCTTGTGCTAGCCTGAATGGGAAAAGTAAACCCTTGGGCTGGATCCAGAGCTTCACTTGTCAATCTCCAGTTCTTTGGCAAAGGCTGTGGTGGTGGAGTAGTACATTTTTAAAATTCAGAAGCTTAGCATGAAAGTCCCCGTAGCCACTTGTCCCAAGGGAAAACCCCCAAACGCCAGCAACTGTGTTGATTAATTTGTATATCTACAGAGATATACACACCCCAGTAAGATCAGAATCATAGAATTGTAAAGTTGGAAGGGATCCCAAGTCAATGGTTCGAATCCTGCCCTCCAGAGAAGAGCCCACCTAGTCCAGCTCCCTGTTCGCATAGCGACCAACCACATGCCTATGAAAGGCCTGTAAGCAGGGCCAGAATTCAACAGTGCCTCTACCCACTGGTGATTCCCAGCAGCTGTCATGTGGAGGCAAATTGCCTCTGACAGAGGAAGTAGAACATAGCAGTCAAGACTCGTATCCATCGATAGCCTCCATGAATTTGTCTAATCCTCCTTCAAAGCCACAAAGAGTTGCAGCACATAACATAATGCCCACTCGGTTAGGATCGGCAGGATCAGATGAAGAGACCGTCTTGACTAAGTATAAGGCAGGCTCAGATGTTCTGTAGCTGAGAAGGCTCATGGCCTAGAGGTGCGTCATGTGCTCTGCATGCCAGAAGACCCAGGTTCAGTCCCTGGCGTCCTCTGGGAGGGCTGGGAATGGCCTCAGTCTGGAATCTTGAAGAGTTGCTGTGAAACAGTGCACAAATTGAAAATTAGGGAATCTGTGGACATCCAAATGTTGTAGGACTCCAGTTCTCATCAGCCCCAGACAGGGATGGTGGGGCATATCTTCCAACATTTCTCCGATGAAAATAGATACGTCCTATTCCATAATGATAGACCACTGAGCCTCTTGGGCTTGCCGATCAGAAGGTTGGCAGTTTGAATCCTCACGACAGGGTGAGCTCCAGTTGCTCTGTCCCAGCTCCTGCCAACCTAGCAGTTTGAAAGCATTCAAGATCAAGTAGATAAATAGGTACCGCTCCGGCAGGAAGGTAAATGACGTCTCCATGCACTGCTCTGGTTTCACCAGAATCGGCTTAGTCATGCTGGCCACATGATCCAGAAAAACTGTCTGTGGAAAAATGCTGGCTCCCTCAGCCTGTAAAGCGAGGTGAGCACCGCAACCCCAGAGTCGTCTGCAACTGGATTTAACTGTCAGGGGTCCTTTACCTTTACTTTTTATTCCATAATGATAATAATAATTTTATCGTTTATACCCCACCCATCTGAACCGGGTTGCCCCAGTCACTCTGGGCAGCTTCCAACTTATATGTATATAAAATGATAAAACATTAAAAGACTTCACTATACAGGGGTGCCCTTCAGATGTCTTCTAAAGGTTGTAGAGTTATTTATCTCCTTGGCTCGGGGGTCGCATAACTCTACACCCTCCAATATTTCTCTGATGAAAACAGGGATGTCCTAAGGAGAAGCAGGACATTTGGGGATCAAATCAGAAACCGGGATGGCTTCTGTAAATCCGGGACTGTCCCTGGAAAATAGGGGCACTTGGAGGGTCTGGTGGGGGTTGCAGTCAGCAATATTCAGAGGACCACCAGTTCTCCATTCCTGGTGCAGAGGAAGCTCTGTTAGATGGACAAACGACCTCATTCAGTTTCCTGTTTGTATGGCTCAGGCTTTAGTTTCTTTCCCAGCTGCATTCCAGGTGAAATTTCAGAAGGTGGACCCTTTCCCCACATGGAGATTTTTTTTTGGGGGGGGGAGAAAGATGTCCCTGTTTAATTTCTGCCTGCAGTGCAGCTGTGAAATGCACAAGACTCTCTGGGAGAGGAATACAGAGAGAGAGAGAGAACATTCCTAGATCAGCCAAACAAACTACCTGCAGCCTAATTGCGTCGCACCTCTAGAGACCGTTGAATATTACAAATGACTTCACAGCTTGATAGTACATTTTTGTTGTTGTTTAATTTAGTCAAGTTTTATTATATGGCCAAGGGCTTCGCGGCGCTACAAAGACAATCAGTCAAAAGCATATACCGGCAATAGAAACCTAAATGGTTTGGCCTACGCCAGATCCAAACCAATTCATCACTCTTGCTTTCCAATAAATGCGCTCATTGAGTTTTCGAATCGGCCCCATCGCTAAGCCTCAGAAACCCTTTTCGGTTTGAGACGGGCACATCAATTGCGCAAATAAAAACCAGACTGCACCGCACAGTTGCTTAAGCTCTCAACGTTTTCAACCTCTGCCTTCTGATTTGGGAGTTTTTGCCTGTAAATCTCAGATATTGGAGTGGACGAAGGGAGCGGTGAGTTGCTCGCTGCTACCTTGGCGAGGACTGGAAAATACTCTGCACATGCTTAGAGGCGGGTCTCTGGTTTGAGATCACAGCTTACAAGGCTGAGTACTGGGAAAAGGAAAAGCTTGGGGTGAACTCTAGTGCAGGAACTGGGGACCTGTGGCCCTCAAAATGGTGTTGGGCTCCAGTTTCCATCAGCCCCGGACAGCATGACCAATGGTCAGGGATGATGAGGATGTATAGGTTCCCCATCGAGATATGGGTGTTGGTTGTGTGCTAAAAGGACCAGCTAAATGTTGGCAAGTCTATTTATAACATCAATTTAGAAATGCGACCGCAGAGAAGGAGGCAGTATTTTGAAGACAAAACTGGCCTTGACCAGAGCCTTTCCGTCTTTGCTGGCAAATATCAGCTGGCGAGGGTTTATTTATTTTTCTGGAAGGTTTAATTTTATGTCAGCACGGTCACAGAAATAACACACAAATACCTGTCTGCCATTTTTAGCTGGCCTATTACACCTGCTGCTCTTTCCCCCTTGGATGCTCCCTAGAGACAGACTTTGGAAAGGGAGCCAGCGACTGCGGCTGGTGCAATATTTCATCACAAACCATTTCACCTGTTGGGTGGCCTTAAGAGAGATTTTCAAAAGCCCTTCAGCTCGGAGAAGCGTTCAGTGCTGACCGGGTTCGACTGGTTTATAGTAAACAGAAAATGGTGTGTGTGTGTGTGTGTTAACTCATTCCTCTCAAAACGAATTTCAAAATGAGAGAGGAAATGAGATGTTCCTTAATTCTGAGGCTCTTCTTAATGAGAACATACGGAGTCAACGATGCCTGAAGCGTCTGAAGCCCAACTCTCTCTGTGTGTATGTAGCTTTCAGCTGTATACCAGAGATACTCTGCACATGCTCAGAAACACTTCACACACACACACACACACCACGTTCTCTCATTTTCTGAACAAAAGAGCTCCGTACTGCAGTCCTAACCCCACTCATTTGGGTGCAAGACCCACTGAATTCAACAGGATTTGCTTCTGAGTAGAGATGGCTAGGATTGTGAAATTGATTGTGTGGTGATGTTGCAGCCGCCCTGAGACCTGTGGGCATACAAAATTTAATAATAATAATAATAATAATAATAATAATAATAGGCTCCTGGCTCAGATGGAGGCAGAGCAGGGTGGCTGCTCCTATTTTGGGGGACAAGATATCTAAACTACACACGCCCCACCCCACCCCAGCCAGCTCAGACGTGTCACAACAACACTGAGGGCAGGGATGAGGGAAAGAAGCATCCAGACAGCACACCAAGCCCTTCCCACGCCAATGAATAGCTTGCTCTCTTCTCTCCATGCCCTGAACAGAGACTTGATGTCCAGCAGACTCCTTACTGCAGGGATTGGGCACGATTTTGGCCTGGCGGGTGGGTCAGATATTTATCTCCCCCCCTCAGCCTCACCGGACAAGTTGGATAGCTGGGTGAATCATCTAGGTGGTCATGCCTGCTTGCCAAAGTTGGGGTTGGGAGGAGAGAGGCTTCCTGCCAGACTGTTCCATGCAGGGAAAGGATTGAACCCTCCACCCAGCAGGATTGAACCCTCCGCTCATCAGGGGTCTGCTTTGCCAGTGCGTTCCCAGCAGGGAAACAGACCCCAGCAGGACTGAACTCTGCCTTCCTGCCCATCAGCTGTCATAACCTAGAGACACCAGCTGACTGGCAGGTGAGCGTAGTTTGGGGGGGGGGAAGAGGAAATTACCTCATGGGCCAGCAAAAATCCCCTGAGGGGCCAAGCTTGGCTCGGTGGGCCAGAGGATTTGCAAAATTCTGCATGTGCCAATAGCTGCAAATGCCGATGCAATTACTCTAAATGAGGGGTCAGCAACCTTTTTCAGCCATGGGCTGGTCCATCGTCCCTCAAACCTTGTGGGGAGCCAGACTGTATTTTTTTTTTATAAAAATGAATGAATTCCTGTGCCCCACAAATAACCCAGAGATGCATTTTAAATAAAAGCACACATTCTACTCATGTAAAAACACGCTGATTCCCGGACCGTCCGTGGGCCGGATTGAGAAGGTGATTGGGCCGCATCCGGCCCCCGGGCCTTAGTTTGCCTACCCCTGCTCTAAATAGAAATGTGAGACATCTTATACCTGCTGGAGAGGACGTGGACCTCTGTGGCTGCTCCATCTGCTACCTGGATGTTGCTGATGAGCAGCTTCAAGGCTCCTGGTCTCTCCTGTTCTTTAGCACCAGGCAGCCTTTCAGGTAAAGGACTGGGCTCCGTAAAAGTAGGGCAGATGGGCACCCTACTTCATGGTCAGAAATGAGCCCATGCTGTTGGAAACACATTTCAAGACTGAAGCCCAACTCTTACAAGGCTGCATACACAACATGTGTTTGAAGCCTCTCTCTCCTCCTTTGCCATGGGAACTTTAGTTTGCAGAACTACAGTTCTAAGTACCTTTGAGGGAGGTGTCAAATGTGCTTGAAATGGTGTGTCTGCAGCCTCAGCCTTCCTCTAAGACTGTGC